GTCACCAGGAAGGCTCCTGCTCAGCCGCTTTACAGGATTAGCAGAGCAGATGTTTTTATTTCAAGCACCCAAAGCCAGTACTAGCAAAAGTGTTAAAATACTTTGTCAGTGTCTTGAGCATTTCTGCAAAATAATTTATGAAAGTTTGTTTTTTTCAATAATGAACTTAACTTTCTTTTGATATTTAATTTTTGAATATATTTTTTCACAAAACTGGATTTGCTGTAGTTAATGATCATGATCCTGATTTGTTTTGTAATTGTAAATTTTATAATTTGTAAAAAGTTAGAATGTCCTTCAAAAGAAATTTACAATAAAATTTGGTTAAAAATAGACCTAGTTACCTTGACTTGTGATTTTTTTTTTTCTTTTAAGAGTAACTTGATGTCTAGATGGCTGATTTTGGTCTGTAACACCGTTTGCACAGCTGCAACCCTCAATGCCTCTTTTACAGTTAAAATTTTACTAAATTTCTGATTATTTGTCACACACCAGAGCTCTAAGCATAGACCTGAATGAAGCAGATCTGCACAGCAGCCAGCAAAGATCTGTTGTAGAAACATAAGAAGGGGCTGTTGAAACCTGCTGCATTTTCTGCTCACCTGTACTGAAGCATGTGCTGCTACATTTTACCATTAATCCCTTATTTTATGAGCAAAGAGGCAAAAATCAGACTGTGGCTAGAGCCATGAAATACCTAACAGCCACTGGATCCTGTGGCATGAGTCAGGACAGATTTCTGCAGCAGCAGAAATCCTCTTCCGGAGGAATGGGAGACAGCAATCTCCAGCAGAAGGGAGAAAGGTAGAGTGGACGCACGTCTCAGTCTTTACCACAATAGCTGAGCCGCAGGACAAGCTGGGAGCCCCTTCCCGGCAGGAGAGCTGTCACATGGACGGAGCTTAGTGCGAGCAGCCTGTTGAATCGGAGCAGCAGACGGAAAGGAGATTAGAATGTGGAAATAAATGACTTGAATGTAATTCAAATGGCTGCACTGATTGCTGGAACTGTAGATGTCCATGTGCCATGAAATAAAAGCCTACACCCAGAGACTAGCACACCTCGCAGAAATAAAGCCAGCTCCACAGTCGATGCACATCCACTCTGCTGCCACATACAGCAAGATGTCTGCATCACGGGGCGTAACAGTCACTTTGGCACCGAGATAACTGCTGCACTAAAAACGGCCAGGTAAGCCTGAAACCAGAGACAGTTCATCAAAATGCACGCTAGAGTGTAATGGGCCAAGACTAACAATGGGTTCCATTTACAAAAGACAGCGGACAATTCAGTTTATGGCCCCAGAAACATAATTCCCAAGCCTTCTGGAAAAATGTACAAGGTTTCTGGCAATAACCTAAGCAAACTTGCCACAGGAAATTTATACATCACTCAAAGTGCAAAGTGAGCTCTACCTATAGTCATATGCCCTTGCTCCATCTTTATGCTTCCAGTAAAAGAACGGTGAGATGATATAGAGCCCCTAAGTCTGTGAAAGTTTATAACTCTCATCAAGCAATTAATTTTACAGTGCTACAAAAAGACTCACAAGCTCACTTTTGTTTTATGATGCCATTCCACAGAGCCACTTGAAAATACAGGTACAGGATTGTCACAGACCTGTGCTCCGTTGCAGTGGAACCCGGCAGTTCCCATTGCCAGACATTTGTCTCAAGACATCGCCACGACCTATTGCCATTCCCGAAGGACGGGGGGGGACTGCAGCAGCTCTTGTCTTCACTGGTTCACTTTTTAAAATACCTAAAGCTGTTAACCGCCAACGGTTAGAAGCAAAGTAGAAAAAAAAAAAAAAAAGATTTTTCCAAACCTGGATGTTGTGAGCAGCAGCGGCTGACAGGCTCCTTGTTCAGTACTAACCCATTTAATCTGCTGATGTTGGAAAAATCAGTTTGATCATAAAGCCTGTATGGTAAGTGTACACGGAGCAAAACACATTAAAAAATATTACAAGTCGACTAGAATAAATCCTGCAGTGCAAATGGACAGAGTTTAGGAAGCGGTTAGCTGTCATTTACTTACATGCTCTTTTGAAGACAGTGCGTGAAACATTCCTATTTAACAAAAGAAATGTGTCATTGAATCGGTGGTTTCCTACGGTTGGTTAAAGGGACATTAATTTCCCCTGAACTACTGCAGTCATTTGTTACTGACAGGCTCTAACCACCTCCTAATCAGAAAGAAAACTGGCCAGATGTCAATCTCCTGCTTGATTTTTTTTCCACACACATAAAAAAAAAGGACGGGGGGAATATTTAAGCAGCTCAGGCCGTTCATTGCAGGTTAGGAAAAAAAATCCCTAGTATGTGCAGAGAAATCACAAGCCTCTCATAATTAACATGTGTATGTAAGGTAATGAGAAAGGTCTTCAGCAACAAAATCCTTCTGTGTCTCAGCAGCTTCCAATTCCAGTGTCTAAAATGTTTCTAACCTAATGAGTGAACAAGATA